AAACTTGTATTAGATCATACAAGTTCATGGTGCCAAGGTACATACAATGTGGCACAGTGTTATCGTTTTGCATACATTGTATAAAAAGAACATTGAAATTTAACAATATGCATTGAGCATCAGGTGAGTTTTAAGCCCAGTTTTGAAAGTAGAGAGAGTGTTGGCCGTCTGAATAGAGAAAGGTAACTTATTCCACAAAGAAGGAGCTGCTGATGCAAATGCTCTATCCCCCCAATTTCTTTTGGTACGTATTTCTTTAAGTCTAATATTATGTGATGAACGTAAACCAGAACGACCTGTAGAGTGGGGTGATAGAAGGGATGAAATATATTCTGGAGCTAGATCATTTAGTGCACGATAAGTTAAGAGTATAATTTTATACATCACACGCTGTTGAACAGAGAGCCAGTGCAGAGATTTCAAGATAGGAGTGATATGTGATGATCTTCTGGTGTTAGTTACAAGGTGAGCAGCAGCATTCTAAACTTTTTGCAATCGGTTAATTTGGTTGGCGGGTAGGGGAAAGAGTAATGAATTGCAATTATCAAGGTGCGAAGTAACAAAAGCATGTACTAACTGTTGGTGGATTGAGGTGAGAGATATTGCCTAATTGCACGGATATTACGTAGATTACAATTGGCCAGTTTAACACAATTTGAAACATGAGTCTCAAGTGACATGGCAGAATCAAATATTACACCAAGATTCCTAGCTTGATGTACAGGAGATACAGGGGCAGAACCAACTTAAACATGAGAAACCTTAATTTTACTGAGCTGTCTACTGTTACCAAGCAAAATAAATTCAGTTTTTGCATCATTTAGTTTTAAGCGACTCTCAATCATCCAGTTCCTTACATCAGCTATACAGTTTTCAATTGGGTTGGCGGGTAGTCGAAAGAGTAATGAATTGCAATTATCAAGGTGCGAAGTAACAAAAGCATGTACTAACTGTTGGTGGATTGAGGTGAGAGATATTGCCTAATTGCACGGATATTACGTAGATTACAATTGGCCAGTTTAACACAATTTGAAACATGAGTTTCAAGTGACATGGCAGAATCAAATATTACACCAAGATTCCTAGCTTGATGTACAGGAGATACAGGGGCAGAACCAACTTGAACATGAGAAACCTTAATTTTACTGAGCTGTCTACTGTTACCAAGCTAAATAAATTCTGTTTTTGCATCATTTAGTTTTAAGCGACTCTCAATCATCCAGTTCCTTACATCAGCTATACAGTTTTCAATTTTCTTCACATTTTCATCTTTTTCTTTCTGGACAGGTTTGCAAATAAAATAAAGCTGTAAGTCATCTGCATACATATGATGATTGATGCTGTGTTTTTTAACAATATGCTGTATGGGCAGAGTATAAACATTGAACAATTGCGGACCGAGAACAGATCCTTGGGGGACTGAAAAATCTAAACTAAGTGAAGCAGAGGTAGCATCACGGATACAAACTTCTTGTTATCTACTAGAAAGATATGACATAAACCCCTTCAATACAATACCCTTGAGACCTATTTCCTTTAATCTATTTAGCAAAATGCAATGATCAACGGTACCAAAAGCACTGCTGAGATCAAGCAGTACTAAACCAGAGACATTTCCATTATCCATACCAGTTAATACATCATTGTTTACCCGTAACAATGCACTTTCCACGCTATGCATCTCCCTGTATGCTGACTGGAAAGGATTTTGGATCCTTCTTCCTGTCTAATAACTTATTAATAATTCTAAACAGACGTTTCTGGTCTCCTGAACAATCAGCAATGGTAGAAGAATAGTACTGTTTCTGTGCTTGGTCTATAAGATAAGGCACATGTTGCTTCTGCTCCATGTAGAGAATACGGTCGGCAGGGATTCTAGAAGACCTCCAACGCCGGTTAAGTCTCCGTCGAAGGCGTCTTGCGCTTTGTTTTCTACATAATAATAATAGCTCACATTTATAATGCGCCTAATACTTTGTTTGTAGACGCGGAACATATTATTACCCCGGTCATCGGATTCAGGCTTACCCGAATCCGCAAGGTATGCACATTATCCACTCCCTGGGGAACATTCCAGCCAGTCGCCATTTTACAAGCGCCATTGCTAATCAAACCACATTAGCTTTCGCATCCTACCGGGTACCCATTTTAACACCTGGGTGGAGAGTGGCAAATGTAGATCAATGTCTTGCCAAAGGACATTAGTGCCGCGGCGGGACTTGAACCGCGGACCTTGTGATCCACAGTCCGGTGACATATCCACTCGACCACGACACCTCTACAGAGGCTTTTTCTATATAGAGAAAGCAAGTAGCTACAAGTAGTACAGTGGGGCTTTAAAGCCCACAGAACTATCAATAAAGATGACAATTAAAAATCCCAAGTTGCGCTCAGAATTATTAATCTCCTCGCAATTATTTGTGAATTTTTAATTCTGTGACGAAATCAATGAGTTTTGTCAAAAAATCTATGACTTATGTGTGACAAACAAGTGAAAGAAAACAAGTGACACTCCAAGAAATACTAAATTTCAGGGGTACTTTATTCATGGATTTTCAAAAAATGCCATGTTCAAAAGTATTCATACCAGCTAGGGTATGTCTTTTGGTATAATAGTCAATAGAGTAGTATTTTGTTTAATGCTTGCCTAATGACGGCACCTGTATAAAGTGTCAACAAGCTTTCTGCATGTCTCCTGATGGATGTTGGTCCACCTTTTACTCTGTGTGTGTGTGTGTGTGTGTGTGTAATTGGATTTATACAGACGTGTATCAATCAGATATGATAATATTTACGTCTGGGGACTGACCTTTAACCTCACCATCCGAAAGACGCAATCTAACGTCACCATGACGAAAGCCTACAGCTTTTGTAGGAATCTTTATTGCTCCTTAATCGATTTAATATTATGAAAATACTTGCTACAATGGGGAGTTATTAGGTATTTTAATGAGTCCGTGTATTGAGTTTGGTAAAAAATAATTAAAAAAAGAGACTAATACTAGTTTGATTAACGCTTCTCAGTCATACAAAAATAGGACTTTTAATATCAATACTAATACCATAATTAGACCTATAGAATGACTATCAGTTATGTATAGTTTTCCCGCAATGAAAATAAATATATATTTATATATTGGGTGATATGGTAACATCATGGATTGTTTGCGTTAAAGATTAAGATGGACAACGACTCCGAAATGTCACAAGGTAGAGAAATCGAAATTATGTGTCATATCCAATGTTCCTCAAGATCAGCAAAGAAGACGGACACTCATTCAAATGTAATAAATAAAGGTTCGCTAAATTGTCCTTCGAAAGTGAAGAATTAAACTTCGTACTTTTCTTTAAGGTTGGAACTTAGTTTAGCTGCGTTGCTTTGAATTGCAATGAAAATTATAGATACTATTTTTTCAATCAATATTTTGATTATTATTTGCATAACAATGAATAATTCTATCAATGAGAATACAATTTCATAGACCTATTGGTCTTTCAAGGATTGAAACAAAATTAAGGTAATGGTCAGCAAGGACAGGTGAAGGAGAAAGAGCATCAAGTTTATTTGCGACTAAGTGGATCCACAGAGTAGCAAAAGCTTTGTAGAGGACGGGTAGTTCAAACACTCGACCGGAAACGCAACGCTCGACACTACGTTACGTCATAAGCAAGACATCTACGTATAGATTCTATCGAGTCTTCTCGACCCGGGTTTTAAGTGGGGTACCTGATACCTTTCACTTTCATTAGTAGCCTAAGCAAATGCTCGTTATACGTATTCGACCCATAGCTTCAATACTGAAATATATGTACATTAAACAAACCCCTAGAAAAGGACCCTTGTAAGATATTCTCACTTTAAATTTATAAATACCGGTACAGGAAAATTTGTGAACGATGCTTATTTTCCTACTTGAGTCATCTCACTTACCGATGAAAAAATAATCATGATTTTAATAATCTTTTCATTTTTTCCTTGTTTCGGAATTATTGGCTTACGCGTCTGTGGCTATGAAGTTTTTTTCTTCAGAATAGAGGTGATCACTTCGCTCTTTCTAAGCAAGGAAACTATTCTGATAGCGCTACACTGTTCCTGTAGAAAATATAATAGCAAACAATCAGTAGTCAAAGTTATCGACATTCTACTCCATAGATGTACGTCTCGTCGATGACTCCCACCATGTTGACGGAAGAGTGGAGGTCTTGTACGGTGGATCGTGGATGACCGTTTGTGGTGATGACGGCTGGAATCTGTTAAACACGAGGGTAATATGTAGAATGCTGGGGTACGACAGTGCCCTGGCTGCGCCACGATTGGCCATGTTTTTTCAGGATTATGGTGATACTATTCGTGTTAAATGCTGGGGAACAGAAGACAGCCTGCAGGACTGTTTCGATGTTGCGGTTGAATATCACTGTAGGCATCACATGGATGCGAGTGCCGGGTGCTACTCAGGAGGTACAAACTCTTTTGGACATTAGGAAACGAATATTCGTAATTGTAAATGGCATTCTGTTCTAATCGCAAAAAAAAACTTACAAGGTCATAAATTTACTTATTCCCATTATTTCCACAAAATCAATTACTAAAATCCTTGAGACAGTGATAGAAAAGGTATCATAACAGTTTATGACTGCATTTGACTTTTGACAACTTTTTAGGCATTTCTTGAATGTTGTTTATTACATGCACTGAGTCATATTGCTTTTAAGAACCCTCACATAATAATATATGTATATTAAGTTCGCTTTGGTTAAAACACTTGATCTTTTTGAATTTAGCCTACCCGAATCCATTCGAGGTACGTCTGTTCGGTGGCACCGAAAAATTAATTATCATTCACTGACAGTAATAGAGAGAAAACATCGAATCGTTGGCAGTTTCCACTTGAATTCATTTTTTATTAAGAGTTTGGGCAAATTATGAAATTTATTTTATACAATATCGCAAAATTTGAAAAAAGTTTTTAAAAAAATAAAAGACCCTTTTTTTTCCTTAGCCCATCCGAACCAATTTCAAGTTCGTCTTGTCGGTGGGTCTAACGATGCTGAAGGGAGAGTAGAGGTAGTGTACGATGGATCTTGGGGAACTATCTGTGATGACAGCTGGGATCTGAGAGACGCGAGGGTGGTTTGTAGAATGCTGGGGTTTGATGGAGCCTTGAAGGCACCGGGATCTGCTAGGTTTGGTGAAGGTTCAGGGGATATTCTTCTAGATGACGTCGGGTGTGAGGGAACAGAAGATAACCTTGCAGATTGTGCTCATTCAGGGATTCGAGTTCACAGCTGTAGACATGATGAAGATGCAGGCACTATTTGTTACTCAGGAAGTAAGTTACCTCTCCGTTTTAAGCTATTGTGTACAGAAAACATTTGATATAAATATAAAAAAGGCATTTTCTCTGTAGCTATATGATATTTCATATTTGTCCAACAAATACTTTTTACCGAGAAGTCACATTATAGGAGGAAGTAATGTAGTTGCTTTATGTATTTAAGTATTATAGTATATAAGAGTTTTTAAGGTATATATCGTATTATAGAAATCAATCTTCTTCCCAACAACTAATTTCATTCTACACTGTCGCTCATATAGTTGGAATATACTTGTTTTACCCCAATTTCTGGAATTATTTAAAAAATAGTTTACAAATAATAGATCTAGATAATAGTATTCATTCTCAGATTAAATTGAATAATAATTTGGCAATGTGTGTTTTGCGTGACTGCTAAAGCATTTGTATGCTTATCAACTAGGGGACCTACACCCTTAAGTCATAAATGACAGTAATGAGGATTAATGCCCCACAAAAGAACACTAATATAACACATCGACATGGTTTTGATCCTGGGGCCTCACAGTTACGAGGCCATTGCTTTGTCATTAAACCATAACTGTACGCAGCGGGGGCTAGGGTAGGGGGCAGTTTCCATAAATTAAAACAAAAAACAGAAAATGCAATGAATTTTCAATAATTTATTGCATTTTACCCCGGTCCCCAACATAACAAAATCCTCTGGACTTTTATTAAATTATGTTGTGACAAAGCGCACTGCGAACGAGCTTTAGAAAATTGTTGCTTTTATTATCTCACAAAATAATTTCTAATGCCTTTTTACCTTGCGTTTTAGTGGCGCATATGATTTTTTTTCGCGCCATCTATTTTGCGTATTGTTTCCGCCTTCAATGGAATTAAATGTGTTAAACTGGAATCAGCAGTGAACAAAGCACAGAAACATAGATGTATACCTGTCTATCAAAAAAGGTATGTGTGTTGACATGAATGACGAAAAACAAGGGCCACAAAAAGGGGTGATTTTACATAGGGACACTTCTTCTGTCACAGGAGGGACATTGTGTTGGTCTCTTAGGATTTGTTGCAAGATGGACATTTTCTTGATATGTTATGTTCACCTACATGTAGAATTGGTATTGCCTTCATAACAAACTATTATCAGACAAAGCAACCAAACCACAATTGTACTTTTAAAAAAAGTAAAATTAATTAAATTGCCTTGGGATTGTTAGAAAAAGTAAAAACGCTTTGAATCCGATTTATGCTAAACTCATCAAAAACATAATTTTAGCCATCAAGGCTAAGGCCAAGGCAATTTAAAAAGGCTAATACACTACAATATTGATATATGTAGGCATAGCTAAGATTTGACATGTTTTATTTCAAAAATATTTCAAAAGAGATGTTCGTATTAATAAAAAAAACAAAACATATGTATTGTGTTCATTTCTTTAAATAAATAATATCGAAACGTAAATAATATTTTTGACAAAATTACGTTTTCGCAATGTAATCATTTCCAACAAAGTTGCTAAACCTGTGTGTAAATATTATATCAGTACACTGGTAAAAACGATTTACACTTTTCAAAATTCATGTTTAGCCCATCCGAATCCATTTCAAGTTCATCTTGTCGGTGGGTCTAACGATGCTGAAGGCAGAGTAGAACTCATGCACGATGGATCCTGGGGAACTATCTGTGATGTCAGTTGGGGCCTGAGTGACGCGAGGGTGGTTTGCAGAATGCTGGGGTTTGATGGAGCCTTGGACGCACCGAGATCTGCAAGATTTGGTCAGGGCTCTGGTCGTATTCTTCTAGTTAATATCGAGTGTGAGGAAACAGAAGACAACCTTGCAGACTGTGCTCACCTATGGATTGGAAATTACTGTGGTCATGGACGCGATGCCGGCGCCATTTGTTATTTAGGAGGTATGTTTTTAAAAAGCCATACTTTCCATCAACCTCTTCTAAATGCTTCCAAAGTTCCTTGCTTAAACATTACACATATGAGTGTTGCAGTGAATTCCCTAACCTTTCGACTGAGGCATTAACCATGGTGACCAGCTAGGCCAAGTTTTAAACTCCGAAACCAAGGCCAAGGCCCAATCATAAATAAAGGTGGGGAAAATGAAACGTGCAAACATGGATGTCCCCACACACATTAATGAAATTGCCTTGGGATTGTTAGAAAAAGTAAAAACGCTTTGAATCATCAAGGCTAATACCAAGGCAATGGGAAAAGGCTAATACTCTATAGCATTGATATATGTAGGCATAGCTAAGATTTGATAAGGTTAATTATATTTCAAAAGAGATGTTCGTATTTATAAAAAAACATAATATATTGTGTTCATTTTTTAAAAATAAATGATATTGAAACGTAAGTAATTTTTCTAAAAATATTACGTTTTCGCAATGTAATAATTTCCAAAAAAAGTTGTTAAACCTATGTGTAAATAACATATCATTACACTGGTAAAAACGAATTACACTTTTCAAAATTCATTTTTAGCCCATCCGAATCCATTTCAAGTTCATCTTGTCGGTGGATCAAATGATGCTGCAGGCAGAGTAGAGGTCATGCATAATGGATCGTGGGGAACTATCTGTGATTTTTTTATGGGACCTGAGAGACGCCAGGGTAGTTTGCAGAATGCTGGGGTTTGATGGAGCCTTGGACGCACCGAGATCTGCACGGTTTGGTCAGGGCTCTGGTCGTAGTCTTCTAAAGTATGTCAATTGTGACGGAACTGAAGAAAACGTAGCAGATTGTGCTCATGCAGGGATTGGACGTTACTCCGAGTGCAGTCATACAAGGGATGCAGGAGCCGTTTGCTTCTCAGGAAGTATGTTTTCCCTGTATTTTAACCTTGCTAGTAGTCCACCTACTCGAAATGAATTCTTTTGAGTGCTTATTGGATGAGCACGAACGTCGGAACAGTTATTAATTAATGACTTTGAGATTCTCCATTTACCTCTTAAACAATATATTTCGATGTATTACCATGAAGTTTTGTTATCATGAAGCCAAGTCTTTCACAAAATAGAAAAATCAACATTCTGGACAATTAGTTTGTACTTGACCTTTTTATGTGTACTAGAACAATTATTATACCAACGGAATATATATCACGAATTTCAAAGAATCCCCCACCCCCCAGGTATGTTTATTCTGTCTTAACGACTGTTTTGCATGAGAAGCAACGACATCCAATATAATAATTTCCATTATTCTACACATGGATATATTAAGCCGACAATGCGTTATTCTCTCTCATCATCTAAGGCCCTCACTAAAATTGGGGTTAGTTGTTTGGGAGTACTTTATAGGATATCTAAATGCAACCAATTGCAAATTATTTGTTAGTGCCCTCATACTTTTGTTTATTAAACTTGAAATTTGTGGTGATATCATTTCAAAAAAGCATGTTCTACGTTCTTCTCTATAAATAGTCCATCCAAAACCATTTCAAGTTCGTCTTGTCGGTGGGTCTAACGATGCTGAAGGCAGAGTAGAGGTATTGTACGACGGCTCCTGGGAAACTATCTGCGATGTTGGCTGGGATCTGAGAGATGCGAGGGTGGTTTGCAGAATAGCAGGGTTTAATGGAGCCTTGGACGCACCGGGATCTGCACGGTTTGGTCAAGGCTCTGGTCGTAGTCTGCTAACTCATGTCAGCTGTGACGGAACAGAAGACAACCTATCAGACTGTGCCAATGCAGGGATTGGGCGTTACACATGTAGTCATACGAGGGATGCAGGCGCTGTTTGTTATTCGGGAGGTAGGTGTGTTTTTTTTTAATAACTTTTTTTTCATAGGTTAGCCATTTGAGTAAATAATTCTTACTTATTCGCTTGCATTTACACCTGAGGGTATATTTTGCATTTCCCTTATTCAGCAATTGAGGTTAAACGCACGAAAATGAATTCCGCACACAAGCGAGACTTTTAATTTTTCTCACTACAACGTCTCACCTTAATTTTATTGTTATAGTTAGCGGATTGCTCTTCTCTAGATATCTCTGGTCATGTGAGGGGCTCTTAACCAATCTATGTACTGGATTTTAATAAAGAGGGGTTCATGATTACATTTCCTTGTAAGAGTATGTACTTTTAATCTGATAAACCTATTCTGCTTTTCATCCTGACTACTCATTAAACATAACAGAGCCATTTCAAGTTCGTCTTACCAATGGAACCACGGATTCAGAAGGCAGAGTGAAGGTTTTGTATAAGGGAAGCTGGGGAACTATATGCGATGACAACTGGGATCTAAGAGACGCAAGAGTAGTTTGTAAAATGCTTGAATTTGACGGAGCTTTAGCCGCACCTGGTAGGGCTACGTTTGGTGTCGGAAGCGGTAAAATCTTGTTTGATGACGTCCGATGCAAGGGTACAGAATACGCCCTTGCTGAGTGTTACCATCGAGGGCTTGGAGTCAACAACTGTGAACATGACAGGGACGCAGGTGTTATTTGTTTTAGAGGAGGTACGTTAATAGGATTGTATGTAGTAGTTCTCAAAGGCTTTGAAAATCTAAAATTCGTACAACGGTTGTTACAATTGTGAACCTCATGGTCTTCATCGTGTTGGTCTTGCTGTTTTCACGTGACCAATGGGATGTTTTAAGTTTTGAGTCCCGCTTGTCCTTTATCCTACAAGGGACAAGGATAACGTTTTGTTTGACGTGGGGCTTTGGAACAGTTGACAATAGGGTCATTTACATATACATTAAATAATGGAACGTTATACAAAAATGTATCGTTTTGTCTATACATGTAGATCCGTTATTACCAAAATAAATGATTTTAAGATTCAATCAAATACGAGTACTCGACACCACTCTATCTCACAATTATTTTTCCAGTCGACTTTAAAAGTAGATGCTCTTCCACGTACGAATCGGACGTATAGAGACATCATTATAACATCGTGTCAGAAGAAGCTCTTAATAATTGTTACAGGAATTGCATCTATGTTCCCATCTTATTGATATGCATGAAACTTTTATATTAGTATGTAAGGTCACTACAGGGCTGTTGTTTACTAGCTGTTGTTGGCTCCTTTACAGAGAGAAATCCAGAATCAACTGATTACATACATACGTATTTATTTTAATTCCTCCAATCCCCCCCCCAAGCACCATTTCTAGTTAAGCTCGTTAACGGATCTACCGACCTTGAAGGACGAGTTGAGGTCTTGTATGATGGTTTTTGGGGAACCGTTTGTGATCATGAGTGGGATCTAAGAGACGCAAGGGTCGTGTGTAAAATGCTGGGGTTTGATGGAGCCTTAGCCGCACCAGGTTCTGCTTCATTTGGTCAAGGTTCAGGAGATATACTACTTGATGATATATCCTGTGAAAGTACACACGATAACCTGGCAGACTGTTACCATCGAGGAATTGGCGTCTCGGCCGATTGCGAACACGAAGAGGATTCCGGAGCCATTTGCTTCAGAGGAGGTATGGGATGATACTTGTAGTCTAACATATTCACAACTCAAAATTCCGATTTGTATAGAATATGATTTATATTAAAAAAAAAGATCTTTCTTCCATCTGTTTTTAGTTCAATAGTATACCCGTACACCCATGCGCTTGTGACATGATCGCAAAGACAGTGAAACAAAATCATTTTAACAGCCTTTTCCATGAGCTTCTTTAAAGTGTCTAAAATTGGGATGACCGATGCATTACGTAATAAACAAGGAATATACAATAGGGTATTGGCACTGCTCTTGAGTTGATGTCTGAAAAGCTCTACCGATCGTGCTTTGTCTACTTTCCACAGACTCATTTTCCTCTCCTAATACTTAAAATTGCTATTTCATTTGATATTTGTAAAACTTCACAGACCCATTCAAGGTTCGTCTCACCGATGGAGCGAAAGATTCAGAGGGTAGAGTAGAGGTTATGTACGATGGATCATGGGGAACTGTCTGTGACAATGGCTGGGATCTGAACGATGCGAGAGTTGTTTGCAGAATGTTGGGGTTTGATGGAGCTTTGGCTGCAACATTTTCTGCACGGTTTGGTCAGGGCAATGGCAGTATCCTGCTTGATGACGTCCAGTGTCACGGAACAGAAAGCAACATAGCAGATTGTTATCACAGAGGAATAACAGTCCATAACTGTAACCATGCCAGCGATTCGGGTGCCATTTGTTTCTCAGGAGGTACGACTCATTTCTACAGTACATGATGGATTTACGTGTTAACATGTTTTTAGCTTTCTAACCAAAAGTTCCAATAGAACGACATATATCTTCCTGATCTATTACGTTTCAAACTTTTGGATACAAAAATTCGAAGAAAGTGCAGTAGTTGTAAAAAATGTATTTCTGGTGCCATCAATTGTGATGACATACCTTTCTATATATAAATGAATTACGGCTGGATAAAAAAAACGTAGGCATACTGCTACCTACAAAATAACGTTGAATTTTAAAAGTGCTTGCAAAATTACTTGCTCAGATGAAAATTTGTTTTATTTCAATCTGTTAAAAACTGTACGGCATTACTTTTCTAGTACGTCTGATTGGAGGAACTTATGACGCTAAAGGTAGAGTAGAGATTCTACACGATGGCTCCTGGGGGACTGTCTGCGACGATTCGTGGGATCTCAAGGACGCCGAGGTTGTTTGCAGAATGTTAAGTTTCGAAGGAGCTTTGGACGCTCCACCTGGTGCTCGATTTGGTAAAGGATCTGGGAGCATCTTTCTCGATGAAGTTCAGTGCCAGGGGACAGAAACTGACATTGAACGTTGCGATCATGACGGCATTGGTGTGCACAACTGCGCCCACAACGAGGATGCCAGCGTTATTTGCATCCAAAAAGGTATGGTACTACATCATAAATGTCGGTATGAAGTGAAACATTTACGACAAAGAATTAACAAATTGTGTTCATGTTTATCTTGAAGTATTTACCACGAGTTGCAAAGGTAAATGATAAGTTCTTAGAGTTGCTGACTTTGCAACTACGATGGATTTGGTTGAACACAAATTTCCGGGCTGAATTTTACAGTATTTCGTTCTTGTTGTGGAGAAGATTTTGGATTCCAGCTCCTTAAATCCATTTTCATTCAAATGTTCCTTTATATTCGTGTTCCAATCCTCATTTAGATCGCACGACGGAATCTGAAACCGGTGAAACAAGCAGCGGTGAAACAATAACAACACATGAATCTAGCCCAACACCAACCTCGAACAACCCTCTTCAAAATCTAAAAGTGACAATTGTTACCGGGATTTGCGTACTGCTTGTGATCATCTTCATCGGGGCAACACTTGCATATTGTGTACGTAGGGCAATCAAGTCAAGGGCAAGACGGAACTTAGAAAACGATATTTACATGGATTTTAACGACACAGGATTAAATCAAGACAGGTTTGTAGCCTCTACATACCAGGATCTGAATGCTCCTCCCAAACTCCCAGAACGACGCTTAACGAGGTTGAGTAAAGGTAGTGCGTTCATAGAGCCCTGCCAAAACCAGCGGCTTTATACGGATGAGGAGCAGATTTTGGCACAACAGACAAGAATAGGTGACAACACCCACGACTATATGGACATGACTCCTATGAACAAGACAGCTTCAACAAACAAGGATGCACATATTTATGCTTATAGCCTCCGCGTTGGAAATAAAGACACAGATACGTTACCACAGGATAATACAGCGACAATATCCAGAGCAATCTGTCATGATGAAACGGGTGAGTCAGTAGATACTGTGCAAATTATTGGACACAATAATCTACACAAGTATATGGTTATGAGCACTGTATACAAACAACTTACAATGGAAAAGGATGTAGATCTTGACGGATATCTTCTTCCAAGTAAAACTAAAAGTGAAAAAGATGAGCCGCTAGGTAATGCGCAAATTACTGTACGAACTGACACCCATGGATATATAGATATGAACAATGTAAACAAAAAGCCTTTTAAGGGAAGAGATGTAGACCTTGACGGTTATATTTTACCAAGTGCATCTGGTTTGAATTCCGAAGATAAACCGAATGTTGAAAATGCAGAACAGAGTTCAGTTCAGTTCAGTTCATTTTATTCAAAACCATACAAAGCATGATATAATCTGTTACATAAAAAAGAGACTGGTAATAGTACATCAATCAACATATTCTAACTTGATTACATCATAAACTGAATGGTTTTAGGACCCCTTTAGAAGCTAAGCTTGTGAGCGGGGCCCTATAACAAAATACATACATTTACAGTAAAAAGAATGTTACGTATGATTATACAATGGATGAAAATACTAAGCTACAGAATATAGAACATACAAATACTCTCACACACACACACACAGACACCACACACGCACATCACCATACACAGCAAACACACTGACGAGTAGGTCCTTAGTGGTCAAAAAGCATTTCAGAATGAGAAATTACTAAGATGCGAATAAAAACTATGTCAGTCTTTCAAGCAGGTACGTTTTAGATGAACTTCTAAACCTAGAAAGAGTTGTACTATTTTTTATATCATCAGGCAGACTGTTCCATTCTTTAATGCAAGAGATATGGAAAGAGGTCAGAGTGACATTTGTTCTTGCAAAAGGCTGTCGAATAAGACACCTTTGACGTGTATTATAATTATGAATTTGCGAGTTCTGACGGAATAAATCTTTTAACGTACATTCATGAGGCATAGACTTAAGATTAAACATAAACAATATGCAATTGAACGACACAAGTCCACTTAGTGGTAACGTTCTTAGTCGAAGGAACAATGGAGAACTTGGATGTCTATAATAAGAATTAGTAATAAGCCGTATTGCTTTCTTCTGCCATACTCTCAACTTATCAAGATATGAGTTGTTTGTCTCAAAACGATAGAGCTATATTTCTCACGAGTGTTTGTGAAAGAAGTAGCTCACATCAACAGACTCCTGCACTGCAACAGGAATGTTCGAAACAAGATTCAATTCACAAGCACATGGACTTAAAACACATTTCCAAACGATCCTCAACGCTTAAAGATGAAGACAAAGATGGATATCTTCTGCCAAGTGCTGCAGGCGACGATACGATTGAATTACCATGCGATATCATGCAGCATGTTGAAGAAAAGCCTGACAATACTCATGAATTCCTCATGATGTGTATCGAAGGTAGTAATGAGTTAACAAAGGGATCATCAGAAAAAAACGATTATGATATTCCAGATTAGGAAGAGATTCATGATATGGCCGTCACATTGCCTATTCACGGACGAAATTGGAGGAAGGGACATTAATCTTCAGAAAGAATATTGCGCAAAATTGGCAAATATATTGAAAACATATGTTTTTAATAGAAATGTTTGCATGGTTCTTTTTGTTAAAGAAGGTGTTTGCCAGTTTCTAATAATGCGCCTTATATCCACCTCAAATATATCTATAAAGAGGGAGTTCTTGATTAGTGTTTGATATTCCCTTTATCAAACGAATGATGAAAACCAAACATTTCGATGAATATCTTCTTTAAAAATGTAAGAATTATAATCTGACAATGTTCTGTGATATAATACGTTATTACTGAAAAACATGTAATGTCATCTTTCGAAATGTTAGCTTCTTTATCTTTTTAAATTTAGGGTGAAATATTTCTTCCGGAAGTAATTTTAGACATCGTACCCTTTTTGAGAATTTGTTTGACCTCACTGATGTAAATTTACTCTCAAGTGCTGAGCATAGCATGCAGTCCTATTGTCTAAGTTTATGCAAACGAATTAGATTATCTCTAGAATAAATTGACCTAATAAATTTGACAATGTTCCGGTAGATATCCTAAAAAGGAAACTCCATCACTAAATTTCTAGTACTTAAATTTTAAATCCTTTTTAAGGCTTAAGAATACTTTTTAAACATTAATTTTTTAAAGATTTATTTCACTGAATAAACGTTTACGAGTTTTAAAGAAATTGACTTCTGCGAATAAAGCTGTCACGTTGAGAATATAAACTTGTCAATCGGATTGCTCGTAGATGATCTCATGCATGAGCGCGCAGACAAAGGCGAATCTTATTCGACTTGAAAGCTTAATCTATTAGACCAGAATTATGGTTTATTGATATCAAATTGTAATTGTTTTCATAGTCTAGTTTTAAATATAAAAGTTTTGTATTCGGTTTTAAAGTCTCTTGGACTTTAAAAAAAAAAGTTTAAGAAATTAAGAGAGGTCGTTTATATTCTTATGAATGTGATTGAAATAAATTTGTCCTCTAATAGCTTCTTAAGTTTAAAGGTTTTATTGTTTGTGGAGGGTACTTGAGGTAGGTTTCTCGAAGTTTGACTTGATATGATTTCAATACTCTTTTAAATTTAGATATTACGGTATTATATTTCATGAAGTGGAGAAAAAATATATGATTGGTGTTTTCAGCCACAAATCTGCATGTATATAAAGAATAAACGAAACAATAATATCGTGTTTACACTTTTTAATTTTCTTAATGTTAGATGTACATGATCTTAAAGAGGAAACACTTGAAACAAATAAATGTAGGTAGATGTGTTATTAACACCACCTCATTAAAACAAGGTTTCTTCTCATCAATATATACAAATGTTCTTTTCACTAATTTTTGAATGATGACAAATTATCACTACACGGTATAACTCAGACAACAGAGAATCTTCTGCGCACATCTCTTCCCTGCATATACTATATTGTTTGAGCAGCGCGCATAAGCTGGTCTCCAAGGGAGCAATGCATGAGATCGAAAATAACCTCAATTTTATATAACAAATATTGCATGTATTGCGTTTTTCAGTATAACATATTCACTATCAAACTCGGAATGTCCCTCGAGCAAATATATCCTAACCTTGGCAGGGTTATCCTTCCTGCAGCCTCGGTAAAATATAACATCACTCAGGAAATTCTAAAGTTGTCGGCTCACACTTTTCGTTATACTGGTACACCGGAGCATGCAATATTTCTATATGTGCCACGAACGAGCAACGTACTTACTACTTCTTTGCACTGTATAACGCGCACTAAAGTTCATTAGACTGTGCACCTCTCAGCCCTGCGCGTGCCCATTGTTTGCAATGTCTTAGCCTGGCGGATGTAAAGGCCCGGTCACACAGAGGGGACGCATGGGGAACGCACGGCCAGCGCATTGAACATTTGCAATTTTGGCCAGTGCGTTGTCGTGCGCCCAACTTTTGTCGAAGCTACAGCGAGCTGACACCAAATGCATAGCGTGTTGCTAGCGCGCTGAGCGCATACAGGGCGCATACAGTGCGCATACAGAACGTACACAGAGCGCACATGATAACAACTTCCACGAATGCACAGCGTGTTGCTGGCGCGCTGGACGAATGGTCCACGCATGCACCGCGTTCTACGACGCACGGCCAGCGCATTGGAAATCGGAAAAGGCTGCGTGCCTAACTTTTGTCTTAATTTTGGAAAAGCTAGCGAGCTGACACAAAATGCACGGCGTGTAGCTAGCGCGCTGTGCGTATACAGGGAGTGTGCTCCGCGTATGTCTGGCGCTGGTCTAGCGCGCTCCACGCATGTCTGGCGCTGGTCTAGCGCGCACCACGCATGTCTGGCGTGCCTTTGGCGTGTACATTCATGCGTCGAGCTCCGCGCACGCTTTTAAGCATGCTCAGAAAATCCCGACGCACACAGCGAATGACGACGAATGCATAGCGTTGGTCCAGCGTTGGCCCAGCGCGGTCGACGGACGAGTAACGCACACCTAGCGAACGACAACGCACTGGCCAAAATTGCAAATTTCCAATGCGCCAGCCGTGCGTCCCCCATGCATCCCCTCTGTGTGACCGGGCCTTAATTAAGGGGCGTCATTCAAAAGGATTACAAGTGTACCCTGAACTTTATTTAACAGATATTGCATGCATTTCGTTGTTCCCTATAACATATCTACACCTCCAAATTCAGAATTTTCCTCGAGTCATGATATTTCAACTTGAAATATATTTTTTAATATTTGTTCATATATTTTGTTATATTGATCGACGAAATATGCAATATTTGTATAATATATACACCTGAGTCCTTTGAAAATCAACGGGCAGCTTGTGCAAATGAGAAATACATTTTGAAATATCAAACTTGACGCTACCATATATGTGGTAATAATATTGTGCATCAGGAAGAACGAAATGTAAAGAGCGTGAGAGGGGAAAGAGATGAGAAGGGGGGGGGGGGAGGTCCGACAACCTAACCAAAATTTACAATTGAATTGAATGCTAGACATTGCATTACAGAAAGAAAGTACTCAAACGTTCAACATGACGGTCCAAGGCAGCATTCCGTAAGCCTATATCTAATATGTTTAATGGAATATCATGCCTCTACTTTACACGTGAGATATTTACCAAATTACGCACAAACCATAAATATATATACCATACACCATAGATATAAATCCATATTTGTTTACAAGCGTGAGTACAAATGAACTAGGAAGAAATAACTGTTTTTGCTGCACTTTCTGTGCTATAACTCAACTCGTCGGGTTATTGCGTGCGTGACAACCCATCTCCATTTCATGTAGGTCGATGCAATGGTTTTCCCTCGTTAAGGCTGCTGCGATTATCTAAGACGTGCTTCCCCGGAGTCGGGGTTACCGACAACTACAGAAAGTAACAATCGTCGTTTTCTTACCAAACATAGCATTTCTAGAAATGAAAGAAACTTTTGAGGCACAACTCGTGGCTAATTTCAGTCATTTGTGTCAAAAACAGGTTTGAAGAGACGGAAGGAAAAAGTTAAACCGCGTTGAACACGCCACCCCCCCCCCCCCCCAAAAAAAAAAAAAAACTCACGCCCCTATCATATATGCCAATACGTATAAATACAACGTTTGAGAGGAAGCATGAAAGGAAAGAACTAGTTTCCACGTAAAATAGAGGTTTGATATTGAAGAAAATATGTAAACACATTATCAACTTAAAAGGGTTGAGCATTAGAGGGATATCCCCATGTGGTTTAGCACAGACTTAAACGGTTATAATGCATGTATTTGATTCACAATCTGTGTTCATTTCCTATGATGCTTATACTACAAAAGAACTACTTAAGATTTCAACGTTTAACCATATCTAAAAGTAGTAAGGTTATGAAACACGACAACGAGGTTATTTAAAAAAAGACGAAACATCTTAGGCAGCACAGCTTTGGGGTGAAAAAGAAGGGCACCTTGCATAGAACTCATTGCATTACATTACAATATGCGGTTTCAATGATACGTTAGAAGACAGAACCTGTTTGATTTTATGTATGCCCATACATCGAGCATCATATTATCGTCTTGGTCGAGCATCGACACCCTAGTCATATGCATAAGCCTTACTAACCTAGTTATTAAAAAATTACATAGTACCATGAATACATAGTTAGTTTCCAACTAGGCGTAGTAAGTGTTTATAAATGTAAAACCAGAACGCTACAGCGACCTCGTCAGCTGGTGGTGAGTCCAGTCCCACATCAACCTTTGTAGATCGTACATTGGCGATTCATACTCTACTGCATGAACGTAGCTACTTGCAGCCCTTGGTTACCCGACAGGCTAGCTCTGCAATAGTGTTGTACTATGTTCTATAATAGGTACGATAAATAGATCCGCCTCTTCTACCAACGGCTCTTTACTAAATGTATAAAGGAATGATGGTCCTGCTGATTGTAGCTAAAGAAAAATTCGAGAGCCTATTACAAATGGCCAAGTCTATATTATCCATGTATACCAGTGATTGGACGTAGTATTACCTCTACCAAGCACATTGGAAATATAAGAATAGAATAATAATTCACTAACAGTTTCCTACAGAAACAGGATGTTACAGCAAAGTTTCCAGGAAATCGGACCCTCCCCCCCCCCTGAAAAAGTAAAAGGATGATAAAAATGTACATAGTAGGCTTGCGGATGCACCATGCGAAAGAGAGGGAGGATTGAGGAGTCCTGAAAAGGACTCTCGGTAATCTTTCTTGAGGGTGTGGATACAATAGTTTGAAATGTTTTCCCGCAAAAAATGGCTCTTCCACTATGAAAAAAGGTAACAGGCATTTTGACGGATGTAGGTCTCTAGGAAATGGATATTTCTCCATGAGGCATAATCTTTCGACATATCCTCACGTGTAAAGAGGAGGAACGACTGACTAGCCTGAGGAGATAAGACAAGCATGCAAGAGATGTCAGCTTTCTGCCATTTCCGTAGTTGCGAGAGAATTAATATTCACATTTTCATCCATGAATAATTCCTTGAAATTTCATTGAGTTAATTTTTGCCTATTTCGAACGATTGGCTAAATGTTTTTTAGTTAAGAAAGTCAGGTTTGACTTTTGTATTGGGTTCTGAATTGGGTTCTGTTCACCATATACATTAATAAAATAATCTATTAAACAGTGTAATTCAATTCCTACCAATAAATTGTGACTCAGATCCCGCAAGTGATGAAAGGTCTAGTGTGTAGTCACTCTCAACCAGTCGTTCTGGGTATAATTGGCGTGATATCTTGTAGAAAGGCTCCATGTTACCACACACAATATTATCAATGACCTGAACTTGGTCCGATTTTTCTAAAACTCTACCAACCTTTATCTTTAAGTTTCTGCTTTTCCCACGAAGAATTCATTCACATATAAAAGAAAAAAGTCACACAAACTCCTAGCTTTTTGGACAAAATTGTCAGCAGTCTGGAAACTAGTTTAACCGCTGCCCCCATCCAAATAAAAAAAGGTCCAGCAACGCGCTTGTTAATTATCACAGTTTCACCGGCGATCGAAATAACCTGATTTGTAGTTATCATTCTTTCAAATAAATTGAGGGGCAAACTATCTGTTTCCGGGAGAAAAGGTTAATTCTTATTTTCGTTCTGCGTCACAATAAACCACTTTGGATAATATACAATTAAACGCAATTTTGCGGAAACTCATCGACAGTCTTAATAATAATAATAATACACAATATTTATAAGGCGCTTAATACTGGTGTCTCTAAGCGCACCATATTCTGACTAAACAATTATTTACCAAAACTTATAATAAACACACAACTTATACATCTGTTCTTTATTCAATAAATCATGCATATATATAATAATAAAAAATAAGATGAGAGTGAGATCAAACTACATACAGGAGGTCAAACATAGAATCAAACATAAGATCGAACAAAACAAAAAAAAATAAGACGGTGTGCACCTCCTTTGACCGACTCACAACTGCAGAATATTGTTTATGAATTAAAAAGGTGAGTTTTCAGCAAGGACTTGAATTGGTCAAGAGAATGAAAATTATGAAAGTGCGCTGGTAATTTATTCCAAAGGATAGGGGCATTTATCGAGAAAGCTCGATCGCCATATTATGTAACGGTACGAGGTCCGAGGGTTAACTGCAAGGTTGATGATGATCGAAGAGGTCTTAAAGAACTAGAAGAACGTAAGGAAATCAAATCTGAAAGATATTTAGGGGCTTGGCCACGGAGAATTTTGTATGTGAGAAGAAGAACTTTAAATGTTATACGATGGTGTATGGGAAGCCAATGAAGAGAACGCAATATTGGGGTTATGTGCTCAAACTTTCTCGAGAAAGTAACAAGCCTTGCAGCAGTAGTCTTCTACAGTCTTCTACCAGATATACGTCTTATAAATTGCTCCAACAATGCTGAAGGAAGAGTGGAGGTCTTGTACGGTGGATCGTGGATGACCGTTTGTGGTGATAAATTCTGGAATCTGTTAAACGCAAGGGTAATATGTAGAATGCTGTGGTTCGACGGTGCCCTGGACGCGCCACGATCGGCCAGGTTTGGTCAGGGTTCTTGTGATGTTCTTGGTGTCAGTTGCTCGGGAACAGAAGACAGTCTGGCGGACTGTTCCAGCCTGGTTTACTCTTCCTGTGGGCATCACAGGGATGCGGGCGCCGTGTGTTACTCAGGAGGTACGAACTATATAGGACATGAGGAATCGACTAGTCGTAATTTTAAATGGCATACTGTTAAGATCGCCAAAATAAATATTTTGAGCCTATAAGATAATATTACTTTTTTCCTATCATTGCTACAAAATCAATTACTAAAATCTAACGTTTCCGTTTGAAAAAGTGATAGTGAAGGTTTTATCACATTTTATGACTGCATTTGACTTTGACTATTTTTCTAGGCATTTCTTAAATATTGGCTAACATGCAGTCATATTGCTTTTATTAAAGAATCCGTACTGACAACAACATATGTATATTTAGTTCTTTTTCATCAGTTATTGACAGTAAATTCTAGGTCAGACAAGACGTGGCTAAACCGCGGTTTTAATATATATATATATATATGACGTAAGGTGCGTCATTTGGTGCGCGTAGTTGCCATTGATTTACACGCCTTGTCTAAACAAGTCTGAATTTTCGCTAAGTTATCATTTACACAAAAGTAGCCAAAACTGTATGTAAATATTATATCCTTACACTATTACACACGAATTACGTTTCTTAAAATTCATTTTTAGCCCATCCAAATCCACTTCAAGTTTGTCTTGTCGGTGGGTCAAATGATGCCGAAGGAAGAGTAGAGGTCTTGCATGAAGGGGAACCATCTTGGGGAACCATCTGTGATACTCGGTGGGATCTAAGAGACGCGAGGGTGGTTTGTAGAATGCTGGGGTTTGATGGAGCCTTGGACGCACCGGGATCTGCTATGTTTGGTGGAGGTTCAGGGGATATTCTTCTAGCTTATGCCGGGTGTGAGGGAACAGAAGATAACCTTGCAGACTGTGCTCATAATGCAGGAAATAAAGGTGTCTCTTGCAGATATGGAAAGGATGAACGCATCAGTTGTTTTCATTACGATTGCAGTCATGCAGGGGATGCAGGTGCCATTTGTTATTCCGGAGGTAGGTGTTTCTGGGTCCGTATTCTACAGAATAAAAGTTTTGAGCTGATCTTTGAAGACAAAATGGAGCAGTTATTCTTAAAACACTTAATTTGATTTTATTGCTTCATATTTCAAATAGTTAGGTTAAATGCTTTTCATTTTCTTTTCACGACAATGAAATAGGAAAACTTTTACGGCGGATATACGAAATTTTGATTTTAACCAAATCTCCTTTGAAATGACATTTAAGTGGATGCTAAGTTTACCTTAAGATATATTAGCGATTTCTTTCCAATGAAATTATAAAGAAAAAATCTAATCATTGGTATTTTATACATGAATTCATTATCATAGTAGTTCAGGTGGTTGGTCAGGTTTATTTCAAAAAGATTCGCAGAGTTTGACAAATGTAAAAATAGAAAATATATTTTATTTTCCTTAGCCCATCCTCAGCCATTTCAAGTTCGTCTGATTGGTGGATCTAACGATGCTGAAGGAAGAGTAGAATTCTTGAACGATGGATCCTGGGGAACTATCTGTGACGATCTATGGGATCTGAGAGACGCGAGGGTGGTTTGTAGAATGCTGGGGTTTGATGGAGCCTTGGACGCACCGGGATCTGCTAGGTTTGGTAAAGGTTCAGGGGATATTCTTATAGATGATGTCGGGTGTGAGGGAACATAAGATAACCTTGCAGACTGTGCTCATTCAGGGATTCGAGTTCACAACTGTAGACATGATGAAGATGCGGGCGCTATCTGTTACAACGGAGGTATGATATACCATAACATGCAGTCCTGATATGTCATTATATAAAGAGTTCACTTATTATCCACTAATAACGGTCGTAAAGAGTCTTGAGATGATTATACGTTAGAGAAATATAATGTAAATCACTCCTCTAGTGTTTCCTTTATTTTTTCTCTTTTCAAAGAATGGAAAAATATTATAATTTACAGAAATCACAAACAAACAAAACTTTTCTATTGCAATCGCCGTATAATGAGCATATGCACAAATGTTCCGTGTCATTTATTTCATTTTGCGTGCTGATTCACAGTTCATTGATTTTCATTCAATTATTAATTACTGCCTTCCATTGCCTCAGCCCATCCAAATTCTTTCGGAATAAGGCTCGTCGGAGGAGCCAGTAATTCTGAAGGCAGAGTGGAGGTATGTACGATGGATCCTAGGGAACTATCTGTGATAATGGCTGGGATCTCAGAGACGCGAGGGTCGTCTGCAGGATGCTAGGGTTTGATGGAGCTTTGGATGCAACAACGTCTGCAAGGTTCGGTCAGGGATTTTGGGATATACTTCTTAATCGTGTCGGTTGTGACGGAACGGAGGAAAATCTTGCGGACTGTGCACATCTTGGGATAGGTGTCAATTACTGCAGACATGGAAAGGATGCTGGTGCCATCTGTTACTCGGGAGGTAGGTGTCTACCCTGTCCAAAAATAGGGATGCACACATTGTTATATAGTCAGGCGCAAGAGTGGACTCTTAATATTTTTGGATAGATTGTGGTTCGGATGCATTAAGGGGAGCCTTCCAAAGTTGCGACTGTGCCCGGACGCGTCGGGGCGCGATGAATAGAACAGTCGCGTCCCAAGAGACGCATTGAGGCGCAAAGGGGCGCGAAGGGGCGCAAACGTCACCCTCACCTGATTCTTGCAAATGAAAAGAAACTGTCTATTGTTGGTATAAACCCGCTCTATTCTTCTTGCGCCCTTTTGCGCCCCACCAGGCGATGGAAGATTATCTCTTCCGTCATTGTCAGGCTCGCTCGTGATGCGCGGTACAGCTTAAACTTGATATACAGAAAGTATTTGTCAGCCAAAGCCTGTCTTCCCCTCCTCCGGTTTTCGTTCTGATAAAAATTCCATTGTTTGTAAAAAAAAAAAATGATGTATTCTTCTCGCGTCGCGATCTATTCTTCTCGCGCCGTTTTGCGTCGTAACGGGCGGGGTATTATCTTTCCAATCATTGTGGCGAAGCTTTGCGATGTACATTGCTACAGCACAGCATGAACTTGTCTGGTGGGATCGTCTTTGTTTTGGGGGGTAATCAACCCACTCGTTCATCTTGAACAGAATAAATTATGATTTATTTTTGTTGGGTTTAATACGCCTCCTTTTAATTTTTGTGACGACTGTATGAAATGTTAAATAAAGATGACTATGTACGATTAATGGTTGTTTAATTGCGAGCTTAATTGTCCCCAACAACAAAAAATAAAAGACGAATGATGTCAATGACTACATGTATGCGGTAATAGTCGGCAAATTGATTACTGTTTGGGTCGCTTGTGTATGTTTGTAATTTGAATGGTTATCAACATATTTGTATAATTCCCACATCGCGATATGATTCTAGCGTCGTAATAATGGACAAAGGAATTATCTTTCTCTCCCGTCATTCATATTCACGCTACGCGTTGCACATCGCCACAGCCTGAGCTTGGAAGTATTTATATTTTGTCAGTCAAATCTTGTTTTTTTCTCCTCCCATGACTTGGTTCTTATAAATTGAAGGTTTGCTTATTAGGGATAAGAAGGATAACATCAAACAAACTATCTACTCAAGATGACGCTCTTTACATTTCACCTCGCTGTTTGATAAAGTAGAGTTCTAAGGAGCGAATACAAAAGAAAAGTTCGCTCTAAGGTCAAATAAAAATAAACAAATGTTTTATTAGCGTCCTGTTTTTTCGAAAAATAGGAAGGAGGAGGCCCTCTTTTTTTTTCTTTCAAAATGGCCGCTCATTGGTACAATGGTACATTTTCCCTGACAGTCGGGCTATTTTTCAAGATGGCCGCCGACATTTTTTAATTTAAAAAAAAAATCAGTAATAGATCCATTTTTTTTTCTTTAAAAAAAAGAAGAAAATATTTTTTAATTTTTTTTAAAAAAAATCACCAAAAAAAATAAATAGGAGGCGGCCCTCAAAAAGGAAGCGGGCGGGGACGCTAAACATGTATATTTTGTTAAGTGGCCTCAGGGAAAAAACATAAAATGCCGTGGCAGGATTTCACGCCCGAGATTTGCCTTCGAAAATTTCCCGTCCAAAAAGCGTTTTAAATCATAATAATTCCAAAGCTCTTTTTAAAAGTGGAATAAATAGAAAAAAAGAGTCCGGGAACTACATCGAGATTATAAAACATGTGTGTCATGAAGATGTAAAAATCACCGTAGCCTGATGGTGATAAAGTTGAGCAGCAATTGGAAATGCAATACAAAACATTAATCAGTTCATGGCGATAATTTATCATTCGACTTCTACTTTGCGCTATATGTACTAAATGATCGCAAAACGGGCAGGGACACAAATACAAACATTGATTTCTGCTCTAACGTTCGAATCATTTATTCGTAGATTTGTATAATTAAGTGGCGAAAGTGAAATTTTGAAATCATAATGCACAGATACAAAAACATACCAAACATGTTTTGATTCTTATTCTAAAAAAAAACGGCAAATTTTAAAAGATCTTTTTAAAAGGAGGGAGGCGCTATAGCCCAGTGGTAGAGCAGAGCAGCTCGTAACCGGGAGCTCCCTGGTTAGAAACCAAGTCGATATGCTATGGTAAGGCATAACTCAACATTGCATTTCGTTCGGAGAGGGTCTTAAAACCGCCGCGGCGGGTTTAAGACCTGTTTGCCTAATTCAGAGCATACACATGCTTCATATGGCAGTCAGGAAAAAAAAGCGAACGGTATACAGGAAGCTACCTTTTATGGATAGGCCTAAATTGAAGGTTTGACTTAACTAGGGAGAAGAAGGATAACATCAAACAAAAGATCTACTCATGATGACGCTCTTTTCATTTCACCTCGCTGTAAGATAAAGTAGAGTTCTATGGAGCGAATACAAAAGAAAAGTTCGCTCTAAAGGTAAAAATATAGAATGCCGTGGCAGGATTTCACGCGGCCGAGCAAGGCAATTGTTTGATCGCTATAATTGTCCGACTTGCTATAGATTCCTGTTTAGCTACAATAAGGCTGCGTATTGTGTGTGTGTGTGTGTGTGTGTGTGTGTGAGGGAGGGGGGCGGCGAAGTGAACGGCCGGACCAAAATGGCAGAGGCCCATCAGGAGGGCTCCGCTCGCTAGTAATAAGGACCGCTATTCATTGGACAACTATTCATGAAGACCGCTATTCGTAATTTGAGAACATGGTCATTATGTATAAGGGTCATGAATTCGTAATACGACATCCCCCCTCCCCAAAACTAAATAAATAAATAGAAAACATGAATAGATTAATAAACTTAACTAATGATACAATAACAAATAATGCCCGGTAATTGGGAATAGCCGCCTATATGAGCGGAACAATGGGCGCAACAATTACTATTAGCTGCTCAACGAGCTGTCTTTTGTCATTGCGTTGCAATAACAAAGTGTTTGTAAAAGTTACATGTACTATAATATCCGTATGCTATAATTATAACACCCAATGTGAACATAACGTGTTCAGGCCTTATAACTATATACAGTGAGCGTTAAAACAAAAGACTTTACTAGCGCTAGCTAACAAATATGAAACGTCAAAACGTCACGAACAATTGAAGACAACAAATTGTTACGACAAATGCCACCACCAATACAGTTTCTTCGCGAAGAAATATTGGATCGAATTTCATGTTTGGAACGGATAGGCGATTTCGAATTGTTCCATCTACCGAAACGTTTTGATGATGCAGGCTCCCGACAATACGACTATCATTTTTGTAATATCTTTAATTTGCAGATGTTTGTTTGTTTCGTATGACATATTTATAAACACCCCATAATCTTATTTCAAGCAGAATCTTTCAATCTCTTTGATTATAAGTATCATTTTTAAATCACGGGTTTTGAAATACAATAGTTGATTTTGCGAAGATTTAGAGAACCTACGTTTCTATTCTTTAAATCGATCTTGCATGAGAAAGAACAGATTGATGATATAGATATATGACCTATTTTGATCGGATGACAGAACAAAATAAATGTAATATGAAACGAATAATGTGTCAAAACATACAGAAGGAATACAATTATACATATCGTTTTTGTTTTGTTCGTGAACAAATTAATATAATACAAGTATTGAACACATTAATGAACAGAAATGAACAATCATGCCAACGTCAACGCCTACACAACTTCGATGTTTGGGAGGGAAATAAACAATCAGAACAACAATCTAAATCAATGTCTTGTACGTAAAATAATAATAAAACATATCAGTAGCCAAAGTGAAAATTTTAGAGTCAAATCTTTCAAGACGAGAGCGGACACACACGCGGGGATTACATGAATAACTAATGCGTAGAAACGGGCGCGAAAGCTTTTCATTAAGCTCCTATTCACAAATTCAAAATTCACAAAAAGCGCTTCGCCGTTAAGCGCTGCCCCCCCCCCCACCCCCAATGAGTGTTATGTATGGTACGCATATGCATTTTCCCTCCTTTTGAAAACAGTCCCCTAAGTCCGGTGTGTAAAGTCATTACGGGCCGGATTTGTGTGTACTAGACGAGCCGGAAGAAAAAAAAGTTATGAATATTCATCAAATATGCAAATTAGATCATTTCAGCTAATTTCATATATATATATATAGGAAAGTCAAACTGATCGTTTTGTTGGCATTTCTTAAATCATATATTCATAGATCATATTTACACCACATATTAGCATTAAATTCCAAATATTTTTGCAATGCTAATAAAATATGGTGATGGAAATTACTTGGATCACCGTTACAACTATTTCCTCATATGTTTCAAAAATTATTCAGAAAAACCGAACAAATGATAAGAATTTGCAGATTTTCAGCTACATCACAGTATAGTTTCTTTTTTAAAAATGTCAGATTTGAGGATTTATGACGATTTTCTGAGAAATTATTCAATTCAACAGGCCATAACATTCCACAAGGACGGAATTTTAGAGAAGAAGGAAATTTGTTGACCCCAGTACAGTTGTGGCTACCTTGAGTGTAAATAACAAATTGATTCAATGAGTGAAACACATGAGGATATTGCATTTTTGTAGGGGAGTTTTATACATTGAGGTGCATTTTCACCACGCAGAATAACAGTCAATGGGCGATCAGCGGGCCATGTTACACGTGGCTGAAAAGACAATATTTTAACATATTTCCCACATGCCTATAACAATAAAACTACACAGAATTGTAGTTAAAGGTATGCTTGAAAGATATGTGAAATAAAAATGTGTGCACAGGTTGTATAATTACCCTACTAGTAGGGAAGTCTTCATTAAGAGGTAGACGAAAGAATATGATAGAAGATACGAATTTTTTCAAAACTTTACAACTCCAATAACATATTGACTCATTTTGGATGCACACCTTTACGATTTTATGAACAACTGAACTAGAAAAGGAAAATGAATGACTCAGAAGAGTGGAGATCAAATACAACAGCACCTGCAGAACAGTTTGCGACGATGGCTTGGATTTTCGAGATGCGAAAGTCGTATGAACAACTGAACTAGAAAAGGATAGGGAATAACTTTTATGGCTATACTAAAAGAAAGTAAATTTATTTTCCTTTTAGTCCATCCAAACTCTGTGGGAGTACGCCTCGTGGGTGGATCTAATAGTTATGAAGGAAGAGTGGAGATCAGATACAACGGCACCTGGGGAACAGTTTGCGACGATGGCTGGGATTTGCAAGATGCAAAAGTTGTATGCAGAATGTTAAGGTTTGTCGACGCTTCGACTGCACCAGGTTTAGCCCAGTTTTGCGAGGGGTCCGATGACATTCTTCTGTCTCATGTCGGGTGCGATGGAACGGAAGACAATCTTGCGGACTGCATACATCTAGGGTTTGGAATGCACAACTGCCAACATAACGAAGACGCTGGGGTCACGTGCCTCTTAGGAGGTAAATTACTACATTATTCTGCTTATTGCATCCATTTATCATCGTTCATCTAACCATTTAAAGTGACCTTAACAATTGACACATTTTGCCACACATTGACACATTTTGAACTGAACTATGAATGCATTGCTCACAATGACGTTGAATATGGATAGCTTAATTCCCTAAAAGCGGATTCAGTTTTCCCCAAAATTTATTATAAAGATCAAATATTCGTAAACAGGACGATTAACATCTAACGCATAATAATAAGCAGTTACGAATCAAGCTCAAAGCGGTGCAAAGACAAGAAAAGAAAAAAAGGATAATGATAAATCTGTTTAAAAAAAATCAAGAACAAATTTACTCTTTTTGTGTTATGTAAAACAGCTCGACTTGTCGGTGGATTCCATGAATATGAAGGAAGAGTTGAGATACTACACAGAGGATCTTGGGGGACTGTATGCGACGATTCGTGGGAACTAGACGACGCTAAGGTTGTGTGTCGGCAGTAAGGATTTGAGAGGGCTTTAGCTGCTCTACCCAAAGCAAGATTTGGTAAAGGTTCTGGTGGGTTCTAGGACAATTACCCCCTGGGCAATCACCCCCCGGAAAATTACCCCCCGAAAAACTACCCCCCAAGGACAATTACCCCCCGGAAAATTACTCCCCGGAGAATTACCCCCCCCCCCCGAGGACAATTACCCCCAAGGACAATTACCCCCCGGAAAATTACCCCCGGAGAATTACCCCCCCCCCCGAGCACAATTACCCCCAAGGACAATTACCCCCCGGAAATTTACCCCCCGGATAATTACCCCCGAGGACAACTACCCCCGAGGACAATTACCCCCCGAGGACAACTACCCCCGAGGACAATTATCCCCCAAGGACAATTACCCCCCGGAAAACTACCCCCCCCCCCGAGGACAACTACCCCCAAGGACAATTACCCCCCGGAAACTACCCCCTGAGGAATTACCCCCCCCCCCCCCGAGGACAATTACCCGCCCCCATGGATAACTACGCCTGAGGACAACTACCCCCCCCCCCCCCCCGAGGACAATCAGGATTCAATAGCAAATGACGATTTGACACATTAAGAGATGCTGTGAAGGCTACGAGCCCATAAAATCCCGTGGATTAACCCACATTCATTCAAATACTTGCGCGTGATTTTCCTCATTACTACACATTTTTCTTTAACTATAATGTATGCAACACCACTGTGCTTGCTGTTTTCTACGAAGGATTTCTCTTGAGCAGCGTTATTTCAAATTTTTGTTAGACACAGTGCCCTCTTAAGAAATGAAAAGTTTCGCCCAATCTTAAATTCTTCACAAACTATTTATTTTGATCACTCTGGTACTCGTCAAGAGCTATGTACACACGTATGGGCACATTTATTTCTTGATTTAGTGAACGAGCAAGAAAAAAAAGAACAAGACATTTTCAAAATGGTAAAACATTATGTTGTAATCAACACACTAGCAAAGATTTAAGGTATGCGGGCGCCTCACCGCCGAATGTACACGAATATAAAGTGATATATTCGGTCATGACCTTGAAACACGAATATGAGGTTATTGGAGCCTCTCGTTCCTTTATTTATCATGTTTATAATTATAATGAGTGTGGTAACAATGTAATGCCGAAATAAAAGATCTATATTCACAAAATATTGTCAGCGAACAAAGAAGAAAGACATTTTATTATTTGTTTACATTTTATTTTCTCATGAAAATAAATACTCTACCCGTTTCTGATATTTGTTTTTCACAAAATCAACGTTTGCCAAAAAATGTTGTAATGTAACTAACATTCTCTTGCGGCACCCCGGTTGAAAAAAAAACGCTGCTCTGGATTTACAAAATCATTGGGATGAATGTACCAAAGTGCGGATACTTATTTTTTTTAATATGGCACCGTACATACCATATATTTAACTTGAAGGCAATTTTTATTTCGAAATAAATTACAGTACAAGAAAACATATTTTAGTTCACCATGACAACAGAAATATATATATATTACATTACATTTATAAACATGAAGAGAACCTTTATTTGGGAATATATCATGGATGAGGGCGCATTATACATACAAAGACAAATATACGATCAGCTGATTAGAAAAGTTACAGAGGATGCATAAATAATGATATCTTGCATCCTAATTTCTTTGTTGGGCCATTTTGGGGGAAACTAGCTGTATTAACGCGTACTCATCTGCGCGCAATGTATTGTTAAATTTCTAAGAAATGTAAATTCCGTACTTTGATTTGATACATGCGTCTTCTGGCAATTGAATTCGATTGGATACATGCGTCTTCTGGCAATTGAATTTGATTCAATACACGTGGCATATTAATTCAAACTTCACAAAGATGGAATGGATACAGAGCGAGAGGGGTGGGTGAAAGCTCCTCCTAGGAGGATACATGTACGTCAAGCAAAAAGATTTGGCAGATGGGTACGAGGGCTTTAAATATGAGCTCCGAATATAAATATAATTATTGAAAACATGTTTATACACAACCCCTGTACGAAACAAATCTATTCCGTCATAAATAACTAAAAAAAAATGAAAGTTCATGACATTTTCTTTAAATAGCAATTTGAAGAGGAGCTCGCATTATACGTCACAGTGTTGCAAATTCCCTGGGTGTGATTGTCCTAGGGGGTAATGGTGTTTCGAGGGGGGTAATTGTCCTCGGGGGGTAGTTGTCCTCGAGTGGTAGTTGTCCTTGGGGGGGGGGTTAATTGTCCTCGGGGGTAGTTGTCATCGGGGGGTAATTGTCCTGGGGGTAGTTGTCCTCAGGGGTAATTGTCCTCGGGGGTAATTGTCCTCGGGGGTAGTTGTCCTCGGGGGGTAATTCTCCGAGGGGTAATTTTCCGGGGGGTAATTGTCCTTGGGGGGTAATTGTCCTCGGGGGTAATTCTCCGGGGGGTTGTTTTCCGGGGGGTAATTGTCCTTGGGGGGTAATTGTCCTCGGGGGGTAATTCTCCGGGGGGTAAATTTCCAGGGGGTAATTGTCCTTGGAGGGTTGTTTTCCGGGGGGTAATTTTCCGGGGGGTGATTGCCTAGGGGGTAATTGTCCTGATACGGTTCTGGTGATATCTTTCTGGATGGTGTTCAGTGTAATGGGACGGAAACCAAGCTCAAAGATTGCAAACATGAAGGGATTGGAGTCCATGATTGCGGACACAAAGAAGATGCCAGTGTCATATGTAGACATGCAGGTAATGTCATCAAGCCGTCAATAAAAGAACTTTTGCCCCAAACAAAAGGACAAAGATCGTCCGCAAATAAAAGAAGAGGACTAACTAATAAATGTTTACTCATGATAATCAAACACTCGGGTAACATCATTATGAAAACTTAGTTTGCGTTCAAAACACAACTTTCCTGAAATACAGCTTGCTTTTTTAGTCTGTATTCGGTATTAAGGGAGAACTCGCAAACATGCTGGCTTATGAAAGCTTTTGTGGTCTGACTTTGTAAAAAGACATATAGGGAAATTTAATATGATACAAATTAATTGTTTGCAATGTATAGAAATGAAACGATTTAAAAATATGCCTGGTTTGAGACATTATTTTTAAATTTCTTTTTCCATGAATATTTATCGATACAAAAAATATAAAAATAATTTTTTTGAAACATATTCCAGATTTGACGACTTACTCGGACTTGATCACCTCTGATGAAATACCTTCTACGTACACAACCAAGCTTTTGCAAATTGGACACGAAACTACAATAGTTCCCACAGGAAAGCAAAGACAACACTTCAGCACAACTCGACATCCGCTCAAGACAAGTAGATTCGAAAATTTAAAATCAACTACAGGCCCGATTCTACTACTTGATTTTCGAATGATGATTATAATTGGACTGGGTATTGTATTATCAAGCAGCATTCTAATCGCATCACTTGGGTTTTGTATTTATAGGTTTAAAAAGAGAATGGCTGATAATAATTTGAACACAGAAATTTATATGGACGTGACGACTATGTCATCAATGCACGCTCTGTCAGCTCGTTCTGCTTACCAAGACTTCAATGCACCACCTAAATTACCTGAAAGACGGCAAAGTGATGTTTTGGGTCACCATTATGAATCAAATATAAAAGATATCAAATATAGTCATGATGGCGATTTAGAAGAGATTCATGAATATGCGGACATGAAAACGGGTAACCAAACACCTAAAACTGATAAGGACTTCGACATTGACGGATATCTCCTTTTAAACACAGAAAGGCCTTTGAACGATAGAAAGTCGGTATCAGAAAGAGAAACTCTGGCTGCACAATGGACATGAAAACAACTCCTGATGTGTATATGTCTCAAGGCATAAAGGAAAACGTGAAACATGACTATATACAAATAAAAACAGTTTACCAAAAGCCGAAAATGGGGACTGACTTAGACCTTGATGGATACCTCCTTCCAAACACAACACCTTCGTTAAGTGATGATGATTCCGTAAAAAATAAACTAACTCGTTAAAATAACGACAAGGAATCGAACATGGAAACCGGTTATATTGGAGGGGAAGGGACGATCCCCTTACCGCAAGATACGACACATGTAAAGAAAGAGATACACAAGTACGTGGATATGAAAACTGTTTACCAAAAATCCGCAACAGGAAACGACACAGATCTCGATGGGTATCTTCTTCCAAGTGCTATGCTACAGACTGAACTATCATAAATAGTAGCAGAGCAGAAGAAGATGGACAGTCTGATGAATACACGAAAATTAACTTACGAGATGTATTTTTAATGTACTTATGAAGATTTCCGAAACGATTCCCTGGTTACTTACAGCATATCCGTTTAAGAATGTGTAGAGGTTAAACGCTTTCCTTTCATCATATCCGTTTAAGAATGTGTAGAGGTTAAACACTTTCCTTTCATCATTAATACTTTTTAAATCATTATACTTCCATAATCCATGACATCCTTGATAGAAGGTTCTCTCTTTGATAAGTATCTGATCAATCTAAATTCTCATGTTATCCCAGAAATACATGTACCTTCAATAAATAATATGGTACTGTACATGTACACTATTTTATATACATTTCTCTTACCTTTACTCATGCTTACAGTTGTTAAAGGTATAGATTATGTATAAAGACGTTTACTGACATTTTTATTGGAATTTACAGTAATGTTTGTTTATAAAGACAGACGTATGTATAAACGGGGTTTGAAATTGTCGGAGTGAACAAATATATGAATGGAGAAAAAGTTATGGGCATTTCTTCAGTTGTATAGGCTAATAGAATGCAATCGCACATTTAGACTGAAAAACGTTTATCATACTGAAATACTTGTAAAAAGAAGTATGCATGATGATCTCAGCAACCAGCTTTTCTAATATATAATACAATTTTCTGCAAAACTTTTTTTTTTTAATATCGTAGTGTTTTCCTGCCTATTTGACACCTTTTCTTTGATACAAATCATATTTCTCCAACTCTTGGGTGTTTAGTGGTT